AAAAACCAGTGTAGGGCCTACACTGGTTTTTTGGGGGTCCCCTGAAAGGGACCCCCCACATGATTTCAGGTTGCAAAAGACGCGCAGATCAGCTGTAGGTCCCTTGGCAGGGGACCCCCAAAAAACCAGTGTAGGCCCTACACTGGTTTTTTGGGGGTCCCTTGCAAGAGACCCTCGATTGTCCGAAAAAAATCAAAGGAGCCGCCAGGTGGCCGCGCCTGCGCTGTGGCTGTTTCTCTTTGCGCCGGTTGTTTCTGAGAACCAGAGGTGCGTTGCCAATCGCAACAAAACGGAGTGTGGCGCGAGCGTCTTGCATTTTCTGCTGCAACTCCGCGACTCAAGCCAGGGGGAGCGGAGCGAAGGCGCTACGCGCCTCCGATGTGGCCGCGCACCGGCGGACCAGGCAAAACTTTTCGTAATCGTGCAACACAGTTTGAATTGACTGGGGTTCACGCCCAAGCTGGTCTGCAAGTGAATGTATCTCCGGCTGCGCTGCCCTTTGCCTCACTTGTGACACACAATCCTGCAAGCAAACAAACCACACTCGCTGCGCTTGTACGACGTTAGAGCAAGCAGAGGGTCATGTCTGCAGAATGAGCCGGAAGCTCTAAAGCACTGACACTTGAGAAATGGCCTGCGCCGTTTCCGAAAACAACGAAGGAGAACCACAGGAAAACAGCGTCCAAACCACAACTTCCCTGAAAGCAAAGCGAGCTGCGTCGCAATTGCCACGGGACACCTACGGTCCCCCTATTCTGCCAGGTCCTGCTTGACATCACTTCACGGGAAACACTTGTTGCGAAGTGACATTTCGTTTGGCAAGGCTTCTTTCAGCTTGTTGGATGCTGAGGTGGAGGCAGGCGCCCGGCGCCCCGGGCGCCCGGCGCCCCGGGCACCCGGCGCCCCGGGCACCCGGCGCCCCAGGCGCCCGCCGGGGCGCCCGGCGCCCGGCGCCCCAGAGCCGGCAGAACTCAAAAGATTTCTGCTCTGTTCAAATGGCTTTCAAACCCACGCTTGTGTTTGGGGCGCCAGGCAAAGGTCCACGTGACCTGACAAGCGTGCAAATGCAGGCACGACCCCCCGCTTTTGGGAGATTCTCGGGTGTCTCCAAGCGTAGTTCTGCATCTACGTGGAAGCCAAGACACAGATTTGCGCTGTCAGCCAGAACAAGCCTCAACTCCCGCCGCCTCCTGACTTCGTCCTGGTGACAAACTCCAGAGCGACACAAACAACTCAATGTCTTTGCCTCTCGGCATTCCGGGACTGCCTCGTCGCACAAGCAGCAATTAATGCTGGCCCTTCCTGCAACTGATTGACGCTGAGCGGGTGGAGTTGCTGACTTGTTTGAAGACGCAGGTGAGAGCAAATTCGTTTAAATCAGTGCAAGCAAGGCACGTCATGGAAATACGTTCTGCCAGATGAATCTGGGATGCGCGCGGCAAAAAAAAGGGATCTGGCCCGCCCTTGATGGTTGGCCTTGTTTAATGTCAAACCTTGTGACCCTGCATTCCCCAGCCACATAAGATTAGCTTGGATCCGGGAGCTTCCCTAGCAAAGCCTTGAAAACGGAGGTGGCCCCTTGCTTGATCTTGCTGGGCAGGGGGAGATCCAAATCGAGTCACTGCAGGTCTTGCAAATCCAGTCAACCGTATCACACCAATTTGAGGGGTTCGGGTGTCTAGCTTAGAGGACTCCCATCCTAACATCAGCTCGGGTTCCTAAAGATGGAAGACAAATCGAAAACCTTTAAAACGATGTCCCTGAAGGGCGACCACAAAAGTAGGCGCTTGTCAGTTTTCGGGGAATATCAAGAAAGATGTCTCAAGCCTGTTTAGAATTGTCTCAAAACAGGGGAACCAACCAAACAAATGCGGTTTTGTCTTGGTTTCCTTTTCAACCAAGTTCAAAAAGGGTTCCCTCACCCAGATCTTGCTTGTAAACTTGGGGTGGGTTGTCTCTCTTTTAACAAAAAGTTGCAACCAAGT